ACGAGATGGCTGAGGTGACTGAAAGAGATCCCTTTTGGATTGCATACTAACTGAGTAAAATGCAAAAGTCAAAATTGCCTTAAAACAATGTAGTCAACTCTCCTTGACGATGGCTCTGTTTTATTACTTTTCTTCTAAATAATGAAAAGGAATTTTTAAAATGTGATTAATTTCTTGGTCTAGATGTGTGACAAAGTTGAAAGTCAAAATTCACATGTAGGCCACAAACAGAGACACCAGTAAATTAACACTTCTTTGAGAGTGTACATTTCAAAACTCCCTAACCTAGTTGGGATTTCTAACACAAAAAATATAGTTACTGACCTCAAAGAACTTGACGCATGGAAAGTGTGGCTAAAATTATGTTTGAAGATACATAAAAGAACTGTCTATGAAAATATAATAATTACTAAAAAAGAAAACACCAAGGGAATTCTTAAAATGCTCTTTAGTTTAATTTTACCCATCAGATAGCTCCAAACATTAGATTACACTTTATTAGTCTCAAATTCACACACTTCTTTTCTCTCTTCCAAGGGTACTTTGGTCCTTAGTTAAAAACCAACAGTGAGAGGTTGGTCAATTACATTTAAATCCGCTTAATATAATGTACAAGTAATGTAATCAGAGACTGCTGATGAAGCATAAGAAATGGCTTAGTAGGATTCCCATCTGTGGAGCAGCCTTAAGAACTGTTTTTAAAGATAGATTGCTTATTCTGTATAATGTTGACCTTAAATGTTTGAATATGTCCCAAACACTCCTAATATTTTACTCTTGAAAAATAACAAGCCTTCTTAGGCTGACTTCCACGATTCTGTTCCTGGCCTAGTGGTAATGATGATGATGACTTTTTTCTCCTTTGATTCTAATACCAGTTATTTCAACCTTTAAACTTGTCATTTCTTATTTAGTTCTCATAAGGATAACATAGTGCACTTTTTTTTTTGTCATTTTTGTGACCGGTAAGGAGATTGCAACACTTGGCTTGGTGTCATCCGCACGGCACTCAGCCAGTGAGCGCACCGGCCATTCCTATATAGGACCCGAACCCGCGACAGGAGCGCCACTGCGCTCCCAGCGCCACACTCTCCTGAGTGAGCCACCGGGTTGGCCCCATAGTGCACTCTTAAAAAACAAAATTATTCATCCTATATTATAGCATCTGACCTTTTATGAAATATCTGTGAGGCAAGAGTATGAGGTGAGATTCTTCCCATTTCACTGACGTGGAAATCGAGCCTGGGAGAAGTTGCTTTAATCACAGAGAAAGTAGTTCCTGACCTACTGGCTACCAAAGAGTTGGGAAAAGCTCAAGCCTTTCATCCAGGGGAATAAGCTCTTTTCTTACCTTGCTGAGAAGTGGTCATCACTGGGATGGCTCTGTCCTCCTCTGATGGCAGCGCAGGCTGTTAGCTCCGAGTGACAACCCATGAGCCAAAAATATGCTTCTTTTACACCTCCCCACCGGTTCTGCCCTCTCACAGGACAAGTCCCTCTATATCTATATGGAATAATAAAAAATAAATATTTGATGTTCGTCCCTCACTCCTGACACAGAGCTATTAAAAGTTTTGTAATTTCCTGAGTGATAAGAACAGTAAGTTGTATGCTAATGTGGTGACTAAAGGCAGGTCGGGGTATAGCTTGTGGATGGGAACTGGTCTCCACAGTATTGAACATATGACCAGAGGGTTAGACTATAAGCCCACTCCCTGACCTCTAGGGAGGAAGCGGGGCTGGCTATTGAATTCAATCTTGAATGGCCAGGGATTTAATCAATCATTGCATATTTAATTAAGCTTCAGTAACAACGATGCCAAGGGAGCTTCTGGGTTGGTGAGCACGTGAATGTGCTGGGAGGGTGGTGTGTCCAGAGAAGACGTGGAAGCTCTGCGCCAGCCTCTCTCTTACTTGCCCTATGCATCTCTTACATTTGGCTGTTCCTATGTTGTATCCTTTATGATAAAAATATAATCATAAGTATGGTGCTTTCCTGAGTTCCATGAGTCATTCCAGTGAATTATGAAATTTAAGGGAGGAGGGTTGTGGGAATACTCAGATTTACAGCCAGTCAGTCAGAAGTATAGGTGGCCCCCTGGACTTGCAACTGGCATCTGAAATGAGTATAGTCTTGTTGGACTGAGCCATTATACCTTTAGTATCTGACCCTAACTGGGGGTAGTTAGTGTCAAAATTGAAGTGCTTTTGTCCTTAATTTACGGAGCCTTCACTAACTCCAGGTAGTTAATGGCAGAATTGAATTGCACTGTAGGACACCCAGTTGGTGTTGGAGAATTAGCGAATTGGTTGGTGTTGAAACAATGTATTTGGTGTCAGAAAAAACAATCTGACTGTGTTCCCTCCCAATGTTGTGCTTTTTGTCATGTAAGAGTCCCTCACTCTTATATTTGTTCGTTCTCTAGATCTTTTCCTAATTAGGGATCACAAAAATAAAATGGCAATTGCTTTAATTAATAGCATATATAGCAAAATGGTTAAAAATAAGGTCTGGAATGAAACTGCCTAAGTTCAGATTCTGGCTTCACCTCATTTTAGTTGTTTGACTTTTTTACATACACACTCAGCTCCAGTTTCCTCATTTGTAAACCAGGGATAATAACAAAATCTACTTTATGATGTTCTCGTGAGGATTAAATGAGTTAATTAATAGAAAATAGTTAGGACAGTACCTGACATGTTTAACTGCCCATAAATTTTAGCTGCTATTATTACTATTATTTTTGTTAACACTACTACTATTACAACTATTACTATTATTACACTGTAATACTATTACTACTATTACACCTACTACTATTTTACTACTGGTGCACTAACTTATTTTTTGAACCTAATCCATAGCACAAAGTGGATGTATGGCTTATAAACTTTTCTGAGCACTTATTTACTTAATACAAGGACTGTATGAAACTTTATTTAATCAAAAGTTTCAAAGTTTTAGGAAGTGTAAAAGTGACTGAACCATCTGTAAGATTTCTTGAGAAATGATAGTGGAAAAGCAAATGAAATATTAGAGGAGAGATCAAATAGGCTGGGAGAACAAAAAGAATCTCTTCTGTAATGCCGATAGAGAACTTTGAAAGCAGAAAAACAAAAAGACATTTAGGTGACTTGCCCCTCCAAGAAGGGTTTTATTTATTTATTTTTTCTTTCTTTTCTTTTCTTTTTGGTGGCTGGCCAGTTGGCATTAGAAGGCTGCACTATAACCAACTGAGCCAACTAGCCACCCCCGCCCCCCGGCCCCCGCCCCAGAACCATTTGGAAGTGAGAAGAGTAAATGAAAAACCATAGGCCTAATCAAGTAGATGTCTTCAATGTGGGTAATTGACAAGCAGACATAAAAGTGAAAGAGTTTAGCATAGGAAATACATGCTACCACCATGAGTAGTGTACGGCAAAATATTGGGGGCATTGGTTAAATAGATTGAATTAATACACTGAATGCTACCATGATGGAAATATTTCATACACCCTATTATCTGAGTTATTGTCTCAATTTTAATAATCACAGAAAGGGGATACATGTGGAGGAGAAAACTATCAAGAAGATATGCATGAGCATAACTTCAGAGTGGCTTCACCACAATGGGAGACAAAAGTTAAAGTACCACCACTCTCAGGCACAAGCAGCTATTCTATCTGTCTCTCTGAAGCATTCAGTCATTGGACTCATTAAATATTGTATCTGAGAATTAGGTATCTAATTTTTTGTTACAAACCTAAACTTTTATTGAAAGCTATTAATGTCTGTTAGAATAGCAAATGTTATTTCATGTATAAGTAAAAAACAAACAAACAAAAAAACTTCACACTTTTATACAACATTATTTTGAACCAAGGTTACTAAACCATATATATTTTTTTAACTCAATCCATTTTATTGGGCATTTAGGTTGCTTCCAAGGATATTCCCCTCTCTATAGGTGAAACTTGAATTGTACCCATTCCTCAGGATTAATTCAAATCTTGAAAATGGCAGATTACTTAGTATTATTGTATTCATTTTTTAAACATCATTTTATATGGTTCACAGTGATCAGAAGCAAAAGATTTTTTTTTTTTTTTTTTTTTACTAAAATTCAACTGAACCTAAAGCAAATATCCAAAAAGGTGGTTTGTGCCACTATATTTTCTTTATATATTGTTAACTCTTTTTCCTAGTGTCATGCAAAATGATTACGCAAAGATTTTCGGAAATGATTCTTAATGTCTGTCCCGCTGAGTGGCTAGTGTATTCTGATAGTGGCACAGTGCCCTAGTTTACCATTTGTTCTTTACTTGCACTGTGAGAACAATTTTAAGTCAAAGAAGGAAAATGTTAATTATTAGATAATAAACACAGATTGTGCTCAGGGAACCAGTAAAGAAAGCCTGACATTTGTCATTGTAAATAGCCTCTGATATCTCTTCTTTCCTATTGTAGATTAGCTTGGACAATAGAGATCATTTCCCCCCACCTTTCCCATCTACTCACTGTTTCCTCTCAAGAGGTAATTTTGAAAAATGTTAAAATTGTATTTAAAAAGAGTTTTTCTTTGCCTCTTTAGCTGATTAGACCAACTATTTTGTAGCCTTTTAGTAGTTAAGAACTCTAATTTTAAACAAAACTTTTCTTTTTTTTTTTTTTGACAGCTGGCTTGTACAAGGATTCAAACCCTTGACCTTATAACATCATGCTCTAGCTTGCCAGCCCACAAAACCTATTTCTTAAATGTGATTTGTCTGTGTGAGCTTTTCCTAAATTTCATCTGATGTTTTAAAAAATCTCTTACTGAATTTTCTTCATAACTGGATTTAAAAATGGGAAGATTAGAATAAAGAAAACTGAAATTCATTTTTCTTTTTTCTTTTTTTATAATGAATTTTCTTACATTATTATTATGAGTTTTTTCTACAAATGTTTTGTTTCTAAGGTGTCTTACCTTTTTTATATTATGATTTTGTCCTTTCAAGGCCTTTAATATACTTTCTTTTAGTCTCTGTAGAAACGCTGGAAAAGAATTTGAAGCAGATGGGAAGGCAACTTCAACAGCTTGAGAAAGATTTGGAAACCTTTCCCCCTCCTGAGGACTTGCATGACAAGTTTGTGACAAAGATGTCCATATCCTTTTGATATCTAAATAACTTAAGTCACTAGTCAACTAGAATTACAATTTACTTAACGTTTTATGTCTATTTGCATAACTAGAGATCATTCCGTAATGCCAAATTGTAGGTTTAACTTTTGCCTTCTTGCAGGGAAATTTATCAAAGTGTTTTTCTATCATGAATAATGCACAAATGTCTTATTATTGATTTCTATTCTTTTTTTCTTTTTATCTGTCTGGATAATGGTATGTTCTCTCATCTTTTCCCTTCTACATGCCTTATTTCCTTCTGATGTTCATGATAAATTGAAAGGATATTAAAACTCAGTTTGATGAAGTTTGAATCTTAAGTCATGATGTGACTTAGAGATTTTTGAAACGTTTCAGGAAGCATATACAGTCTTCATAAACTGGTGTGACTAGTCAGCTTAATTTCAAGGATTGTTGTATATTAGAAATTAACCTGTGTTCCACAAAATTTAATATTTTCTTTAGAAATACTACATGATTCCAAAATCAAAATGGAGTTTGTTACAATCACTACTTGTGTAGATGTTCTCCTAACTCAAAATAAAAATGACAGGTGTGTATATGTGTGTGTGTGTGTGTGTATGATTAATAACATGAGGCTTGTGTCCTGTTTAACTGAAGATCTTCTTTGTATTAAGTTATCTTTATCACTGACTTTGTAGCTTAATTTGTAATGAGTAACAGAAGTAATGAACCTTTTTTTATTTTCTGAAACTAATGTTGAGTTCCTTTGCAAAACATTCTGTGAAATTAGAGACCAAGTGTTTTAAAAAGTGTTGGTCTTTTGTGTTACAATAAAATATTACTGCAGTGTATTATTAAAATCCCATGTGGACTTCTGAATTCTAATACTTTTTTTTTTTTTGTCTTTTTTGAGACCGGCCGCACTGCTGCGCTCAGCCAGTGAGCGCACCGGCCATACCTATATAGGATCCGAACCCGCGGCGGGAGCGCTGCTGCACTCCCAGTGCCGCACTCTCCCGAGTGCGCCACGGGCTCGGCCAGGACTTCTGAATTCTATATGAAAAAAAAAGCCTACTCTAAAATGAGCTCTTTTAGACACTCCCAATATTTTATTTTCAACTGAAATACTTGAAATGAAATGACTACTTTTTCTTTTTCTAACTCTTCTCTCCTGAAATTTAGTGAATCACAAAATTATTATTTGGTTTGTTGTAGATTTTATTGTATATGCTTTCAGCTTAATTGTGAATTAGTTGAATTTTAGCTTCTTTCACTGTCTCTCTTAGGAAATATGAAAATGCACTCCAGCAACAATCAATTCAGGCTAATAAGTTTGTTTCCTTTTGTATCTTTCCTCCCCATCCAATTTCTTCTTATATTAGGGTGGGTGACTTTATCACTATATGGGGTAAGGCTTTTAAAGTAAAGATGAAATCTGTATTTATCCATCAAAAATATATTTTTGTACTACCTTCTCATTTGACAAAGTATGCTTTTTAAAATAGATGTATTATTGCAGAGTTATGTCAGTTTCATCATTGTTAGCTTCTACCCTCAATCACTTTATCATGTTTAAGTGTTCATATGTGACAGTTTATTCTTTTAATCATTAAGTACTGTTAATTGAAGTACTTGGTACTGTTCTCTATAGAACATTTTAGAAAAGATTTTGCTTACATGTAGCTTCTGGTAATACACTGTGAGTTCAATAATTATGAAGCTGAGGTTTCTGGAACTAAGTTGAATTCTTGAGCTTGGAGTAAAAGTTGTAGAATCCTGCTCAGCAGACGATCTCAGGACATATTCGTACTTGTATTCATATGACACAAGAAGCTGAATGATGTTGGCTTCTTGAAAGGTATGCAGCTCATAAAAAGCAACCAGCAGGAAATCAGAAACTGGAAGGATGATGTTTTGTTGAAAACCATTTTTCATTCTGAGTACAGTTATACTCCATGGACAAGAAAGCTACTACATCCTGTCACTAAATATCACAACCCAAAAGCCTCTAATGAACTGATTAGCATTCATGTATCTCTTGGAAATCAGATATATGAACAGTTGGTGCACTTTGCTATTGACAAAGCTTATAATCATAAATATTCGTTGCCGAGATTAGATTGCACTCATTTGCTTTTCATCTTAGTTAGACATACTAGTTTCGAAGTAATTAAATTCATTCATTGCAGGGCTTTGTTTATTTTAATTAGGACTGACAACAAGTCAAATTTTGGATATTAAGTGCATTAATACAGATCTTATTAAAATAGCAATTGTCAGCTTCTTAGATCTTAGAAAATGGGAAAATTTGGGAGCCAAAATGCACAATAAAAAAAAAATGTACTTAACTAAAGTTTACATTATTAACAGTTAAGCTTTATGTTGTAAGTTTTAATGCTTATTAGTTGAAGCATAAATCAAATGTTTGGTTTATCAAAAAAAAATGTACTTAACTAAAGTTTACATTATTAACAGTTAAGCTTTATGTTGTAAGTTTTAATGCTTATTAGTTGAAGCATAAATCAAATGTTTGGTTTATCAACCAATTCTAAAAGAGTATGTATATTACTTAAGTAGTTAAGGATGTCTCTTTACAACTACATCTTTAGTTTAAACAATCATGACTTAGTGAACTACTAAATAATCTGTTAATTGAACTGTTTTAAATTATAAAGATACAATTTTGTTATAATTTGAAACTTCACTAATAACACTCAATTATAGTATATTGTATTTTTATTCTTTCAGTGCATGTTCACTCTTTACGTACATTTCTTAATATAAAAAAATGAATTTACTATGTCCTTTATAAGGCATGCACAGTTATTTCATATATACTTGACTTTTTAGTAATAGTTGTTGCTTCCCATTTGCTAAGCCTGATTAGAACTGTAATTAGAGTTGAATCGTTCCACAGTAAATATTTGCTTGCAAAATGTGAAACACAAATTTGCGGTAGGGTCATCAGTATTACTACATGCAAACTATTAAATAGGAGGTGTAAATACTTATTAAATTCTTACCAGTGAGAAAATTAAGAAAATGCCAGGATTTGTGTCATACTGTGCCTGTTCCTTTCTTTTGACCTTTAAATTTTGTAGTATTTCTTATTTAAGGACAATAACAAATAGATCTTAGAGCATTGCCCTTGAAATTCCCTCACACAGGCACTTGTCTTTCCATTATTTTTCTTTCTACCCTCTCTCCTGAGTCTCTTAGAAAAATAATTTTTCTAGATGTTTATATATTTTTTGAATTTATCACAACATAGTAAGTTAGTTGACTCTTTCTCATATTATATTCTTTAAATTTCTTCTCAAATTCCCACTTTATTTTCACACTTTTGTTGTTGTTGTTGTTCCCACTAAATAGCAGTGTTTTAGGTGCTTCTGAAATTCCTGGGTAGATTCTACAACCATCCCAGTAAATTCATTGAAAAGAAAGACATATCTTACTTATATCCATATTCTGCATTGCATAAAGTACAGCATTTTACAGGTAAAAGAATTCCATACATTTTTCTTTAATTGAACTGCTGGTAAGCAGTAAAAGAGAAGATTGGAATGGATAAAGTGTAAACTTGTGTAATACATGGCCCAGTTGCTAGACTGGGAAGTGGGGTAATTGGGTGATTAACTGTAGCAGATTTTTCTTTTGAATTAGTATTCTCACTGTCTTGTCCCTTTCTTCTTTCTTCCCTTTCTTGCCTCTTTTCCACTTAACCCATTCTTAACAAACTTTTAAGACTTTGCTTAAATATCCTGCTCCTCATCCTCTATAAATCCTCTAATTTATAATGATCTTTTCTGAAGTCTTATTACACTTTCAAGAGTGTGCTGCACAGATTTGTGCTCACTGCTGCTTTCCAGTTGTGCGTCAGTTTTTAGTTAATCTCACCTTCTCAGCCAGGACATCCCTAATTACCCAAATTAGACTCTGTCACTTTATATAACATCAAAAGCTTTTATTTTCTTTATCATACCACTATGTGAAAATCTCATTTATTTACTTATTATCTGTCTCAACACTCTACAGTATGTGTTTCATGACAGCAAGGACTTTGCCTATGTTATTAACTGCTGTTTTCCTTAGTGCCTAGAAAAGTTTCTGGAAAAGAGTGGAACTCAATGAATACTTAACTGAATGGCTGAATCCCAGGTACTGAAAAAGTTCTGTCAAAGGTATTAGACATGTAGGACTGATTGAAGTTGGTCCTTGTAAGGTGTGTTAATGGAACTAATGGGCACCCTTGGTAGCGGAAGTGCAATAATGAGGGTGTTGACCTAAGGATAAAAGTAGAATATTTTTGTGGTAGGTGGTTTGATAATGAGTAATACTGGTGTAGACCAAGAGAAGAATTACAAATCGTAGGCCTGCTTCTTAGTTGGCTGCACTAAAGACTTGTGGTTCAGTGAATGTAAATACTGATCTGGTTGTCAGATACCTTTCAAATGGGAAGATTACAGTGATTCAGGTAGAAATTCATGACAATTTGGCCTTGGTCTTGATTTAGGTAAAGGAAATGAAAATAGATTTCTCACGGCATCAAGTGATTGGATAGATATCAATATTTTTGTAATGAGTTTTATCAAATGTTTATTTTGTTGAGTATCTCATATTTCTCTAAAGCTCCTTACAAACATAGAACCTGATACTGTTAAAAAAAAAAATAGTTAAAGCCTAACTACTGTCATAAACATTATTTTTCTTTGGAGTTTAACAGTTGGCACAAGGACAACCATGTTTGTTTTTTTCTTTTGGATGATGATGATGATTCTTTATCTGGATGGTTCAACATCCCTTAATGAGAGAATAGCCTGTCATTATTGATATAATGTGCCTTATTGATATAACCAGTTATTCAGTCCTATCAGGTAATCACTGTAAATGTCTAAGGATTAATTTGACTATTTCTAAAATTGTTTCAGTTTAATAATAATTTCACCATTCTTATGGGTAATTACCGTTATTCAAAGCTCCACTTTATTCTCTTTGGGAGCAAATTGTTTTATAGATAACATTGATAAAAAAATTAAATTTCTCTAGCTGTTAGAACAAAGCCAGGTCATTTCCATGGTTATGGATCTTGGTCATCTTTTCTATCACATCTTTTAATGAAATTGCACTGTTTTTATAATATGCACAGACATATTTCTGATTTTTTGTTGTGATTTTTACCTGAAAATCTAAGGAATGGCATTGCTTTATTTTAAACTGTGTACATAATTAATCATTGAGAATGTCTGTTTTCCCAGGTATTATGATAAAACTACTAGTATTTGTAAAGTGCCTATTCTTAAAATTCAAAGCTTTATAAGCGGTGATAGGGGCATCAAAGCAGTAGCTATAGAACCATACAATTAGAGACACCTACCAAAACAGTGTCCTTAACCTTATTGTCCAGGATAAATACTTTTCAGGGACTCAGTTAGCTTATAATATTACATTCAAAAATTTTTTGTGTGTGTATATGTGTACACGCATGCATACGTGCAGTTTTATGAAGTTCTATAACTTTTTATCAAACTTTTGACGGCAACTCTTACCCTTCCCAAAGTGTAAGAATGATGGCACTAGGGTGAAATAAGTAATTGGCACCAACGTAGTTGCAAATGAATAGACTTAATACAGCTAAGAAGGTGGAACACAGCATTTAGGGAATGGGCTTGACAGTAAGAGGTAATCACCTTTACTAGAAATGTAGCGAGAACAAAGCACTGCTAAGGAATTAGACCAGAAGGGAAAAATCACAGCTTCATTGTGGATCCAGAAGTTAGAACATGCCTGATGAATTTCCAGATGAGTACTATGGACTACGAATGCTTTCTGTCTAGTGGAACAAATGATTACTCATAGCTGTGGAGATTAGAGAAGCCTTCATGGAAGAGGAAGTATTGAATGGATGCTTGAATGATAGGTTTGGACGGCAAAGGCACAAAACTGTTTCTCTTTTATTTTATTTTATTTTTTGTCTTTTTCGTGACCTGTAAGGGGATCGCAACCTTTGGTGTGGTGTCGCCCACACCGTGCTCAGCCAGTGAGCGCACCGGCCATTCCTATATAGGATCCGAACCCCCAGCGGGAGCGTCGCTGCGCTCCCAGCGTCGCATTCTCCCGAGTGCACCACGGGCTCGGCCCCTGTTTCTCTTTTAGACAGGAGTTAAGAATATATAAATAATCCATGTGGATATATTGTCTTTCTAGACATAAATAACTTTAGATGAGAATTTATAGATTGTATAGGTAACTTATAAATTGATGTTCATTTCTGCATGACTATTTCACATTACAAATGAATCACTGTATGTTCCATTTAATGATAGTTTATAAATGCATTTCAAATGTGATTTTTATTTAGTTAAATTCACTTTACTTAAAACCTTTCATGAATGTTGATAAAGTACATGGAAACCTGTCCTGTAAGACCCTATTCTTATGATTTCTTGTGATTTTGTGGTTTGACTAATTACATAAAATCTTTTGTTATTCATCCAAGAATTATAAAATGATATCATATGTAAATATGCCAGTCACTGATACTATTGAGATCTAGATTCTAGAAAGTGTAGGGAGGCATTTTGCTATTCAGATGAATGTAAACTGAGCCGCATACAGATCTATAAAATTTTCTAAGGTCATTAAAAAATGAACTACTGTAGTAGAATCTAGACACCCTGGCTTCTAGTCTATTCTTCCTTCTAAAATACTACATATTGTTACACTTCTCACTGTGTAACAGAGACAAGAAAAGGATTACTTAAAGCACCATGAATGCAATGAGATGCCCAAAGGGTCTGTACCCCAGAGAAAACTGGGTATAGCCTTGATTCCAAGTTAGCTTCTGTTTTTTATTGTAAAGACAAAGAAGTTTCACAAGAAAATTCAGTTGATTCAATCATTACAAAAGGACACAAGGACATGGGCAGTGTTACAAAAGTTATCTATGGCTAAGTATAGCAAGCAATGGAAACTAGTAACATCAGTGAAATTAACAATGCGACATTCCAAAGTACAATTACTGAAAAGCTAAGTTGGTCAAACTGGCTCATTATCTAAAGTATAACCTCTCCTTAAGCAAAAGTTACATTCTTATGATAAAATCTAAGCACAATTATTTCTAAAGTTTCCTCCAACAGTTTGCCCCTAACACATTTTTTTCACATCTTTCCCTTCAGCAATTCATAAAATCTCTTAACAGGATTGGTATGACAACCACCTGTTAACTCTAAAATCATTAAAGTATACAATCCCATACCTAAACAGTGATTAGAGTTGATTAGATGGGCTTTTGCCCTCTGGCTGTAGGCTGTCACCTCCTATCCGAGGGCTTTTGCCCCATATATGTATTTGCCTAAAAACCCTATTCTAATGAGAATCAACATTATTTAATTAGAATTGATTAAATGGGCTGTCGTCCTCTATCTGTAGACTGTGGTCTCCCATGCGAGGGCTTTTGCCCCATACTTGCATTTACCTAAAAACCCTATTCTAAAATCAAATGAGAATCAAGATTTCTAAACCTCCACACATATATCACTATGCAGAGCATAGTATGAAAAGAAACAGGCATAGGAGGGCAGTAGATAATCCATGGACTGACCACAGACATGGGTACAGGTGAGTTATGATTGACTGGGATGCCTTACTTCCTTGTGGGGAGGTTGGGTTCTAATAACTAGAATTCATTCATGTGTTCTGGATTCACTCCCTACCTAGCATCAGTGTTGTCTCTTTTTTTCTTGCTCTTTCACATTCTCAAAATGAAGGGCCTGCATCAGTTTCCTTATTTCATCTTTTACTGGGGAAAGCTCTGACCAGAAAAACTATATCCTTTTGAAATTGTGGAAAACTTTACTTTTTAGATATAGACATTTCATTTTTGGTTTATTTGTCTTGGCCTCACTCCGGTTTTTTGTTGGTTGTTCATTTTAAGTTTTGCTGATGTCTGCTTATACTTATAAGATTAACTCTGTATTTTCCATCTCTTTATATGTCCTAGTTTAAAGGAGCCATAGTCAATTATGACTGATTCTATAAGAGTCATCTTTTCAGAATGTGGTATTGGCGATTTTATATCTGACTGCATCAGCAATTTGTCATACGACAAAGGAAATTTTGTGATTTGTTTAGAACATGTTTTTTAATGCCAGCAACTAACATATTCACATTAAATTAGACTTCTCAATTTCAGTGTGTTTTCAACTTTGTTGTCATAAATGAGAGAAAAACATTTCTGTATGTGTGTGCATGTATGTGTGTAATCATAATTTTTAATCCTGTAATTCACAGAAGAAATTATGGACTACTTTTCCAAAAAAGAAATTAAAACATTAATTTGCTTACATAATGTAAGAAGTTTTTAATTTAATTCTTCATAATTTATTTAGTTTTACTCTTAGAACCTTAAGTAAAGTTTAGAAAGAGTAAGTGGGGAATAATACCAAATATTTTTATGTACTACTAAATGTCCAGTCACTTTTCTAAGAATTTTGCGTGTATTAACTCATTTAGTCCTTGCAACAGCCCTATGAGATAGGTGATATTATTATTCTAATTTTACAGATGAAGAAATTGAGGCACAGAGACATGAAGGCACTTGCCCACAGGCACATTGCTCTCAAGTGTAGGGGCTAGAAATTGACCCCAAGTTGTCCAATTTAACTGCTATGCTCAATGCATGTATTGTTGATTTTGAAATCATTGCAATTCAACTGCAACCACTGAACTATAATCTTCATAATATATATTATTATTTTTGTAAATTGGAAGAAAATTTTTCTTAAGCTCAGTTATCAAAGAAATATTAAATATATAAAATTTTCATTTTCTGATTTTTCCATATTTAATTAGAAATTGAATTTAAGATTTCATTGCTGTACAGTATAGGTAGACTTGTAAGAATGGTTAACTATTAGAGATCATTTTGGAATTTTGGTGATTATCAGACTCAAACATTGATTTACAAGGTTGCTCCCCACCCCCAAAACATTACTTTCTAAATTTCAGAATTCCTTAACTATAATATACAGTTTTGTTATTAGTGCTAAAGAACAATATGAGAAACTTTCAAAGTTACATGAAAACATGGAAAAGTTATACCAGAGTATAATGGGATACTATGCCATTGATGTGAAGAAGGTGTCCGTGGAAGACTTTTTTACTGACTTGAATAACTTCAGAACCACATTCATGGTATGGTAAAAAAAAAAACCTTACTTTGTTTTTAAAAAGTATTTTTATCTATTCTATTTCATCTCTTTCACTTTTATTACATTTTTCTCTTGTCTGCAATAAAACCTACCATTTCTGATGTTGAAAGTTAGCTTTAAAAATTTCAGATTTTAAATCTATTGAAAAATGTGTGGTTTGTTCTCTATTTGGCCTTTCCAACATGAAGCTGTAATCAGAAATTTTGATTGAAAAAGTGACAAATTCTTAAGTTCTTCATAAAGACTCCCTTCCTGGCTGATTACAGAGCACTTTTGTAATAAGTTTTTGGCTATGAATTTGTTTCTTTATACTTAAGATCAATTTGTATTTTTGTGGTATAATTTTACCAAATTCCATGCAGCTCTTATGAAGCTTTTTTTCTTTTCTTTTCTTAATGCATTGTACAATAAGCTACCTGTGATTTGCCTTTGAATAGATTTTGTATTCATAAGGTTTCATTTAGATACTTTAATAGGGAGGTCAGGTCTTTGATGTGGAATCCTTTCATTTAGGCATTAAAAAGACCTTTTGAAAAGTATTAGCTGATTAGATGGGGGGAAAAACACACACACATTAAAGTGAGAAGGTATTGTTGCCTCCCTAGGGAAACTAGTGATACATTTCTACAATGAAAAATTGTTATTTTTAATAGATGGGTAAGTCATTTCTGTATTTCACAAATGTTTGTGGGGATTAAAAAGTTTTGAGGTGTAAGAGAAAGTTGAGTTTAAAGAGCTGCTTTTTAATCTCAGGAAAACTTTATTTCTGAGTTTATTGGACTTGGTTATAATTACTTGTTTATGATTAGGTAGGCTTTTAATAAAAACCCACTATTTTAAAGAAAAACTGGTCTACAATAAATTCATATTTGCTTACAGCTCTAGTTATTTCCTTCATAAATTCAAAATGATTCTTCAAATTATTTTTTCACTACTAGAAATGAATTTAGTTAATAAATCTATTTATTATGTACCAATTCTATATGTATCATGTGCTATATAATTTATTACTTTATATTTTATAATACTTTATGAGACAACATGGCTTAGTGGAAGTAATAAAGGCTTTGTAGTCTGAGAGAACTAGGCTTGGATTCCATACTAGTTATGTGGCTATGAATACTTATTTAACCTCTTGAGCCTCAGTTTCCATATTTGGAAAAATAAAAGATGTTAATTCTTTCCTCATAAGAGTGTTTATTATTAAATGAAATAATATGCTAGTATATTAAATGTTTATCATTACTCCTGGCACATGGTAGTTGCTCAATAAATTCTTATGTCATAAAGGGTTAATTCAGCAAGCCTGGAGTGCCCAAACCCTTCACATTTCATAGAATGGACTGGCCTTTGACTGGCTCCTGAGAGATCACCTCTAAGAACTGGGAATATCCTGCCTGCTAAGGGTGTCTTTATATACTTGAGTCTTGGGCCAACCTACATAGATATGCTGACAGTTTGATTTATGCTGAATACCTGTTTTTGTTCAACTGGTGCCCTGGGCCAAACTGTGTCAGTTTGATCTGTTGGGGAGCCAGAGACTGAGTAGCTAAGATCAGTCATGCTGACAGTCAGTGCCTAAGTGACCCGCAATAAAAATACTTGTCAGCAAGGTTTGGGTGAGCTTCCCTGAATGGCAGTACTTCATGCATACTGTCATATATTGTTGCTGGGATAATGAAGTACTGTCTGTAGGACTCTACTGGGAGAGGACAACAGAGAGCTTGCACCTGGTTTCTCCTGGACTCTGCTCCTGTGCACCTTTTTCCTTGTTGATTTTAATCTGTATCCTTTTACTGTTAGAAACCGTAACGGTGGGTATGATGGCTTTTCTGAGTTCTGTGAGTCCTACAGCAAATCATCAAACTTGAGGGTGGTTTTGTGGACCCTCTGACAAAATTATGCATAAAGTATAAAGTTGATATGTGAATTAATAATACCCTTCATATACTGAGTATTTTCTATGAACTGGACATTCTTCTAAATGCTTTACATATGTTATCTCAGTCGTTCCTCAGAACAATTCTATATCTTTTCACTGTTACCATCCTTCTGAGGCAGATGAAGAAACTGTGGCACAGAGATGGAACATATTTAGCTCAATGTCATACTGCTATAAAATGGTAGAGCTAGAATTTGAACCCATATATCCTTCCTCCAGAGCCTGCACTCTTAAATGCTATGTCATGCTGCTTCCCGTATACTATAGTTTGTTTTCCGTATTACAAATAAGAATACTGGCATTTGGAAGTTTTCCTAATGAAACCAAGCCCATCTTGTTTGTAAGTGATCAAGTTGGGATTTGAGTTCAGATCTGATTCCAAATCTTCTCAAGATCTAGGTTTTAGGCATTCTATGGGCAACTTGTCATTTCTATTACCAAGTAGGCAGAGGGAGAAAGTGTTTGAATAGGAAAACTGTTCAAAAAGAATGGGTAACAGTGACACCTATACTTTGCCTATTTCAGAGTTTCCATGGGGGCTAGAAGTAGCTGCTGTTACACACACATTCATGCACACACTGCAGTAAATTAAAATTGTTAGAGCTAAATATAAAACCTTTTTTTATATAAATATGGTTATAATGCTTGAATTTTAAAGAAAATATATCTTTAAAAAATGCAGAGTATTACTATTGGCAAAAACTACTGATAAATAAACCCCTTGTTTTGTCACAGTCTTATGATCTCTTAGGTTGCTTTTTAATTAGACATTATTCAACTTTGGAAACCAGGTTAACTTGAATGAATCAGTGTGAAAATATTAGGTCTGTAGCTACAGATGTTGAATTTTAATGGGTTGAAAGTCTGTTCTGGAAAGCCACATTAATGCAACAGGCAAAAATATATATTTTCTTTTTTTTAAGAAATACTGTTAAAATGTGTCCATTGTTAGTTACTTCATCCCAAAAACCAGTGGATGAAATAACAATGGAAACATTTTTAGGTTTACTCATGAATGAGCAAGTTTTACCATAAGGTGAAGGTCCATTTTGTACTGCAGATAGGGGGTTGGAACCACTGTCCTCACTCCACACCTAGCCCTCACAATGACAGTTTTTTTATGGAATGTTTTCCCTGAAATTTAGGCCATTCTGTCTACTGTTTGCTATGCTTGGAACACTCCCTCCATACTTTGCCTGACTAAGTTACTGTACTCACCCTTCTGATCTCTGCTCAGACTTTACTTCCTCTAGTAGGATCTGTGTCTGTCTCATTTATCTTTGTGTCTCTAGTGCAATTCATGGCAGATAATAAAGTTGTTGAGTAACACATGATCAATGGGTGACATACTTTATTAGCTAACATATGTAGTACCAACCATGTGCCAGGCTCTGTATCAACTCATTTAATCCTTATAACAACTAGAAGTGGTATATATACTGTTACTATACCCATTTACCAGATTAGGAAACTGAGGCATAGAGAGATCCTGACTTGCCTATCATTACACAGCTAGCGAGGAGTTAAGATGCTAACCCAGGCTGTCTGGATCCAGAGTCTGTATCATACATGGCTGATAGCTGTTTCAAATAGGACTAACTTGAAACCTACCCCCCCCCAATAAAAAAAGTGACCATTTTATTTGTAACTAATTTGGTTTGTAAACAATTTATTCAAAAATATTTATACTTTAGGATTATCTTAGAATTTAAACTTTAGCAATTAAAGGCTATTTATTCAAAGCAATTTGCTATACCTTTAACTGACTCATACAGTCTCTTCTTAGTGTTACAAGGATCTCACAACTAATTTGTGTAGGTGTAGCTCTTCAGGTTTTTGTTTTCTCTATGAGAGCCTTGTTACAATAGCTGAAGAAAGAACATCTGTTCCAGATTGCTGCTTCTAGCCATGTAGACCAAGGGGGAAAATTTTTAAAATCTTGTAGCTTCTCTGAGGAACAGCTGTTCATTTTGATGGCAGTTTAACTCACCTCTGTTTTATTTGAGAATTCTCAAGTGGGAATTAGTTTTTTGTTGTTGTTTTGTTTGTAAATAATCTATTATATGTACTATGCTCATTGGGGATGGTACTGTTTAGAACTACTGATCGACTTCCCAAGAAAAAGGGAGTAAATTTGCATTGTAATTTCAGTTAACTTTATTTTTGTTACCATTGCCAACAGGACAAAACCAACCAAAAACTGCCCCTGATTGAGTACTTGCTTCTTGCTAGACCCTGTGCTAACTACTTTACATGTAACGCCCCACGTTGCTTTTACACTGTTTTTGTGGGTTAACTGTGAGGTACGGCAGCTCTGTGCCTTTGCAGAGGTGCTTGAGAGTTGGTAGGGGCTAAGATTCAACACAAGCCTGCCTGACTCCAAAGCCTGTACTTTCAACAGCTTCATGTATACTGCTGCTTAGAGAGTTTGCAAGAAAAGTCAAAGCTGTGATTGTTAAGTGTGTTTCTGATAACTTGCTGGAGATATTGGGTACAAGGCATACTTTATTTTATTACTCCTTGCTATAATTTCTATTTACATTGATGGGTTCATGATAGAAGAATGTTTTTAGGCCTGATTCTATTTCAAAGCATGAAATGTTCTCTTTTAAAATTAGAGGACTGTTAAGGTAAAGCCTGGTTGCTTGGGTGAGGGATGAGGTAAAGGATAGAGAGTCAGCACCTTTCTGTAATAGATTTTTATTTTCAACAGGACTCATGTGAAGCATAAAATTCAGGTTGGAGGTACTAGGTGGAAATACCTGACCTCACACTATAAGCTGAGTAAATCGGTGGCTTGTCAGGCATCAAGATTTTTACCAAGTGAAGTTGATGCCCTCAGTCATATAATATTGAGTAACGATGATCATTGTTTTCCATTTGTGATTTATTTTAACTCATTGCATGCCATTACCAATCTATCTATTGTTAATAGATGGTATGTCATGCTTCTACAGAATGAATCAAGCTCATTATGGAATTTTTCTTGGATGCTGCTAGCAACCCCCTATCCCTTTATCTTATCCAACAGCTATAGCATG